GGTCTTTGCACCCCCACCACTCGGACACCTGACACACCCGGGGCACTCAGTGCTTGGTGTTGAGTCAAAGTAAATGGACCTAAGAAATCCTTCAGGAAATCCTGCATCTCAACTTTTCGTTCAAGTGAGCAAAGGCTTTTTTTATGCAGTCATTTCAGTCATTTCCTTCTAGGAAAGGCAGGAGATACTAGATACTGTGTGATGTCCACCCTTAGTAAGCTTAATTCAGTCTTTATTAATTAGTCCGCTAATCAGTACTGCTTGGGCACCTGTTCTGTGCCAACAGCAAGAGATACAAAGAAAGACAAAAAGACGATCCTTACCCTTGGGGAGCTCCTGGTCTAATGGAGGAGGCAACAGGAATGATGAGGGACACACAAGCCGCGTACAGACCACAAAGACTCCTGTCTGCCATGGCCTCAGAGGCCGTTGGGGAGGACCCTCTCATCTGACAAAGGAAGAAACTGAGTCCCAGAGGGGAACACAATGGTAGCGTCCAAGGCATTCAGTCTAATCCTCTCTACACCGTACCACCATGTTAGAGCGTGTGTGTGTGTGTGTGTGTGTGAGTGTGTGTGCGTGCGTGAGTGTCTGTGAGTGTGTGAGTGTATATCTGTGTGAGTGTGTGTGAGTGTGTGTGTATATCTGTGTGTGTGAGAGTGCGTGAGTGCGTGAGTGTGTGAGTGTATCTGTGCGAGTGTGTGTGCATATCTGTGTGAGTGTGTGCGTGCGTGTCTGTGAGTGTGTGTGCGTGCGTGAGTGTGTGTGAGTGTATATCTGTGTGAATGTGTGTGTGAGTGTGTGTATATCTGTGTGAGTGTGTGTGTATATCTGTGTGTGTGTGAGAGAGTGTGTGTGAGTGTATATCTGTGTGAGTGTGTGCGAGTGTATATCTGTGTGAATGTGTGTGTGAGTGTGTGTGTATATCTGTGTGAGTGTGTGTGTGTGTGCATGTGTGTGTGTGTGTGTGTGTGTGTGTGTGTGTGTGTGTGTGTTTTCTCTTGGGGGAAGGCATTAGAGAGTGTGAAGGAAAAATGGACAGTATTATGGGCTCCTTCTAGACCTCAAGCCTAGAAGGAGATTTTAGGTCTCCTGACTGAAGAAAATGGAAATGTCCCCAATGACTTTTGCCTCCTGAACCCACTCAGACAGATGTCTTTCAGGAGAAGCCCAGTGCTGCCTGGGAAATGAGTGGAAGCGGACAGTAATAGCATCAGACAATAGATTCAATGTCACAAGCTGGAATTTACACTAGATTTGGAGTCTAGACATGGGTGGTTCTGGAACAGAAGCCCTGAGAGGCACGTTCTACAGCGTGGCTACCAATCTCAAGAATGAGGGGTAGGGGCCTCTCGGAATTGCAGCAGGAGGTACATACTGTCCACTCTGAGCACACTCACACCACAGGGCAGTTGGTGGGATTCACTGTGGTCCCTCTGGAGCCCAGTCAGCCACCATCTTAGCCACGCTCTCAGAGGCGGCTCTCCAGATGAGAAAGATGAATAGGCAGTGACAGTGAACTGTGACGCCCCGAGGTCCGAGGGCTTTCTCATTATTCCCTCCATTTTTCTATCACAGTGGTCCCCAAGGCACGCATTTAAATCGGAGGAAGGGAAAGCGAAGAATTCTTAGAATGAGCTGTCACAACTAGGTCCACCTGGACTGCGACCCACCAAGTGGGACCTATCTACAGGGTGTTAATAGAGACCTTTGCAAAAAAAGTTAGGCAGAGAGCGGTGCCTTGTTGACCCCAAGAAGACACAGGAGAGGACGCCCACCTGTCTCTTGCAGAGGTGGTGGCCTAGGGCTGTGGAACGCTGCCAAACCGTTTTGATATGTTGGTTAGTTTTGGCAAACTGTCTGCCCTCCCCCCACTCCCTTTGGTGTTATAAATAGAAGGTTCCCAGAGAAGAAAGGAAGTGACACATTGGGAAATGCAGGTGCTATAAATATAAAAGATATGAACAAAATTTCTTTTCAAATTAAAAAGATGGGCACTTTAAGGCCTTTTGATACAGATGTGAATGTTGGTGGAGTGGAAGTTTCTTGAAGGCAGGGAGTGTCTTGTCTTTGTGACCCGAGGACCTGGTACATTCTTTTTCGGGTGATGGGGAATGGGACCTGTGAGTTTTCATTTCCCCTGGACACCCCATGTGCCCTCTCTCCATCCATGGATGGAGATCAGCAGCTTATTTGGAACTTCCAGTCTCAGTGAGTTGCTTGGGAGACAGAGAGGCTAAAGGGACTAGCCTGGGGTTACCTAGCCAGAAGGTATCAGAGGCAAGCTTTGAATAGAAACGCTTCTAAGGACAACCTTTATCTGTGAGGCCTCTCACCCGGCCCTTGGTGATTACTCAGTGCTGTTTGAATGGATTGATGTGACTTACCAATGGAAGTGGCCATGCCAGCATATTCAAAGGGCCTTGGGCAAGGTGTCCTGACCCTTTCTAAAGGAACTGGGATTCCAACACCTAGTTTAACTTCTCAGTGGTACCAGCCACCACACAATGATTTCGATCTTCTCTTCTACCCTGAGTGGTTCTTTTTAGGCCTTAAAAATGTGCTTGTATACATTGAAAATATTATGACACTTAAGTGTTTATGTCTTATTCTCTCCACTAGACAGAAAGCTCTATGAGGGCAGGGTTAACTTTTTCTTAAAACTTTGTATAACTCCTAGCACCAAATACAGAGCTCTGAACAGAGACGGTGATTAACAGATGTTTGTTGAATGCACACATGCATGGATGGATGGATGGACCGATGGATGGATGGATGACTTAGACCAAGTCCACAGGAAGCTAAATGACTAGAGAGATAAATGGGCAGATGAACTGACCAATCACAGGACATTTAAGTAACAAAATCAATTCCACTATTTGGGTTTCGCCTTTGACCAAAATGGTGCCAGCACTTACAGTTCAGGGCTGCCTTTTCCTGTGAAACTCAACTGATGTTGGTTCAAAGATCAGATGAAAAAAGTCCTCCCTCCTCAAATGGAATCTTGAATTGAAAGAGCACTGCTATTTGTTTAGATTCATCTTTGTCTTCCATTTTGGAACAACTACACCTGATTAGTTTGGGTTCAATTGTTGAATTAATAAATCTTAAAAGCTGTCAGAAACCCCATAGATCACCTATGTAACTCAATATAGGAATTCCTTCACAACATCGTGGACGTCTCTAGTAACAGGAAGCTCACTGCCTTCCAGGAAGTTTCATTGTCAAACAGCTGTTGAGCAGAGAATTCGTCCTTCTTGTGAGCTCATGTATCTCCCTATAACATGCACTTCATGGGAATAGAAGCAAGCCTGTCCTCTTCCCAAAGATTATTTTTCCAGATCTCTAGTTCGGCTACCTTGTTATTAGCAGGAAGATGGAAATCAGGGACTGACTCTAAGTAGAATGGGGGGGCCTAGAAATATGATTCTGGAAGGGATCAGCATAGAGGTAATAACCAAAGCCGTGGGAGTGGATTGACATAAGAGAAGGTAAAGGCAAAGCCTGGGGGTGGCCTATGATTAGACACCGGGAGGAGGAACACAAAGGACCTGTGACCTTGTCGAGGTGGATAACTGTCCAGGAGATGGAGGAGTGATCAAAGAAGCCGAATAAGGAGGAGAAAGTGGGGTCCTGGGAGCAGCAAGGGACAGAAGGAGGAGGAGAGAATCAGAGGCTCGAGAAAGCTGAGAAAGGGTTGCGGGCTTGGGTAGGGAGGAGCTTGGGCAGGACCGCGGATAGAGCAGTCTGAGAAGAGGGCTGGTGGAGATGGGAGATGTTCTGGAGATGGAGCAGGTGGGGAGGCCATGAAAGCCGGACAACGAAGGAAGGAGACAGAAGACAGTATGGAGCCACGCACTCGGAGGGGGATTTTGCTTTTACTGATTTTAGACAGTGGAGACCCAAGGAGATTTGTTAGGGGGTAGAAGGGACAAGGAACCAGACAAGGCTTCTGGGAAAGGGGAGGTGCAGCAAAGACAGGAGGCATGGAATGGCGAGGGGGTCCATGAGAACATCATTAGGACTGCCAGAAAGAATCATGGGATCTCAGATTTAGAGCTGGAAGGATTCATCCCCAACCCCACCCCCCCTTTAAGAGAGGAAGAAACCGAGGCCCAGGGAGGTTCAGGGCTGGACGGCAAATTTACAGTTCGATGGGAACTAACCCTCCCATTTTACAGATGAGGAAACTGAGGCCCAGAAGGTTGGTGACAGTCTCACACAGAATGGCTATGCTATGGACTCTGTGCCTTCTGAGGAAAGCCCTCATCAAGTTAATCTTCCCACCCTCCCCCTTTACCAGCTGCTGCTGCCCCCAGTGCGATTTGAACAAAGATGGGCGCGGAGTACTGCAAAGTGCCGGGAATCTTCTAATACCCTGCTTTACTTTGCTGAATTCCGTCTTTCTTTCTCTTGCCTTCCTTCCTTCTTTCTTTCTTTCTCTCCCTCCCTCCTTTCTTTGTTTCTTTCTTTGTTTCTTTCTTTCTCCCTCCCTCCCCCATCCCTCCCTCCCTCCCTTCCTTCCTTCCTTCTTTCCTTCCTCCCTTCTTTCTTTCTCTCTCCCTCCCTCCTTTCTTTCTTTTTTTCTTTCTTTCTTTCTTTCTCTCTCCCTCCCCATCCCTCCCTCCCTCCCTCCCTCCCTTCCTTCCTTCCTTCCTTCTTTCCTTCCTTCTTCCCTCTTTGTTACAAAGGCTGGATCTCTGGGAGCAGGAGAGGGAAGGTCAAAGTAATGTAAAAATGAAAACTAGCAATAGCAATTCTTTTTCTTAAAAAGTAGAGACTCAAGAAATACAGGTCTTCTAAAGTGGACAGCTTTGTTTTCTATAGTATGGATGGAGGCCAGTTTTTCCAAATTACAGAACCAGAGGATGACATGGCCTCCAGCCCCCAGGATGGCTTAGCCACACGATGGACAAACAGACAGAACTTTCACTGCAACTGACATCAGTGACCTGTGGCCCAACACCAACTACACCCAAAAGTAGGGCCCCGACACTCACGTGTAAACTTGGGTGATAGGTCAGGACGCCGTTGTCACACAGGGTGACATATTTCTTCTTCCATTCTTTATTCAACGATTTGCCGCTTCGCTTTAATAGCATCCCCTGAAAGAAAGAAGGAAAATGAAACATAAGGCCTTCCACAAAGAAAAGACTGTTGACTGCATACAAGGTTTTCAAGCATTTTTAGTCACCTTTCAACACATTTAAAATCTAGTTAGAATTATGTTTGAATTGTTCTAGAGTGATTGGCCTAGCATCAGGGAAACCTGAGTTTAAATCTAACCTCAGACATTTACTGGATGCTGGGCAAATCACATCACTGCTATCTGCCTCAGTTTCCTCATCTGTTAAATGGAGATAATAATAACACCTACCTCCCAGAGTTGGTGTGATAATCAAATGAGATAACATTTGTAAAGTGCTTTTGCACACACACACACACACACACACACACACACACACACACGTTTGTTATTATTATCCACCCTCCTACATAAGGTCTTTCTAAACCTTCTAGCTGTCAATTGCCTCCTTTCTTCTCTCCCCAGCTCAATTTTGTATTTACTTATTCAAATCTACATTGCTAACACTCTCTTGTAGAAATAAGGCCACCAAAGTCCTTCGCCCTGTCAAGTGGTTCAACACCAGAAATACACAGGGTTCTGTCAATGGAAAAATTACATGAAAGAGGCATGACCATGTACTTGGTTGCCACACCGTAAGGCCTATGGGACTTTCCCGTCTCCTGGCGGCTGAAACCTGCCCTACGTGCTGTCCTTCCCATTAGGGTATGAGCTCCTTGAGTCCAGGGCCCATCTGACTTCTCCCCTCGCACCCCCAGACTTTAATGCAGTGCTGTGCACATAGTAAATGCTTAATAAATGCTTTATTCATTCATAAGACCATGAGCTATTCTTATTATTAGTAGAACGCTATGGTATTAACCATCTTAGTTAAAAGGTACATATGATATGCGTGTCACATCACACAGTCTTAATAAATTATTCAGTTAATTATATGTGGAAGACCAATAATGTGACTGTGATTATTAAAAAAAAAATGATTTTTTTGAAGGATCTAAGTTGAACTGATAAGACATCAGCACATCCATCCTGTTCAAATGTATTCTTCTGTTAAGTTTGCAAATGGCATTTGATATTCAGGTCTTTCTCATTTTACATTTAGTGCTCTAAAGCACCATGTCAATTTATAAGATTAGGGATTAAAAAAAAAAAAACTCCAACTGGCCCCAGCGACAAATTTGAGCCTATTCTGAAGCTAAACCACTTTATCATTTCTTGAAATGCATGCAAAATTTGGAGCCAATTATCCTCTATATGTGATGACAGGCTTAATGCAATCATTTAAGTGATTCTGATGAGCATTTATTCTAATATAACCTCTTTCTTATCAAGAAAATATAAGCCTTCCATTAATATGGAGGACTGCAGAATCCATATTCAATCTGGCAGAAATCAGGGCTCAGTTCTCAGAACCTTACTTGTCTGGTCTCTAGGCAGGCCTCTGTCTGTTCTGCGCTCATCTTTATGGACAAGAGCAACCTGTACGGTCCAAGATGGCAGCTTCCACAAGAAAGTGACAAGAGGATGGGAACTCCAAATTACACATAACTGAACTGTAATGCATGAGCTTCCAAATGACTAATTCTAAATATCCTGCTTCCTTCTACCTCTAAGGCATCAATCAGCAAATCCAACAAGGCTGCTATGTGCCCAAGCCAGTTACTGTGCTAAGAACTGGGGATGTGAAGACCAAACAAAAAGGGCCCTGCCCTCGGGAACTTACATTATATTGGGGTGTGTGGGGAGAGGAACATGTATGTAGAAAACGAATACAAAATATACATCAAGTAAAAATAATGTCATTTGTGGTGGAGAACTAACACGTGGGCTTGGGGAGAGAGTGAGTATCAGGGTGGGCCTCATGTAAGAGGTAGTAATGGGCTGAGCTTTGAAGGGTGCTAAAGATTCTCTGAAGTGGATCTCAAAGGGATGGCATTCCAGACAAGGGGGATGGTCTGTGCAAAAGCAGATAGGCCAGAGATACAAATGAGAAGAAATAATCGAAGGCTGGAGCCCCCCTCTAAATGTCACAGCCCCCCAACAACTAAGGCCCACTCCAAAGGCTCTCATCCTTTGCATCCTCCCTGGTGGAACTCACTGAGGTCCAAATTGCCAGCAGCCAAAAGAACAGGCGTGCGTATGGCGACACAGGCCTGCATAATTAGAGACATTATTCAGTTTGACTTAATTTTTCCTGTTTGAGTCATTTTTGTAGCACAACAGTCTTCTCTTAATTCCCACCCCGTCGTATTTCTGGTATGTCATGGGGAAAAGAAATAGGTTGTTCAATGTAAAATACACACACATATGTATGCACACACATATGTATATAAACACACGTATATGTATGTGTATATACATATATGTGTGTGTGTGTGTGTGTGTGTGTGTGTGTGTGTGTGTGTGTGTGTGTATAACACAAAGGAAGAAATCCACGGTTTCATATATTATCTTCATTCTGTGTTCTTTGTATAGGTAAATTTTAACTTTATTGATGTTTGTCAAGGTCATCATCATCATGGTCATCATCATGATGATAGAAAATAAACAGACTCCTATGGACTAGCTTAGGAATCTCGTCACAAGTGAGAACACTGATTCCCAGGGAAATGAAGTCAGAGTTAGAAACAACCAATATACAAATACGCTTTGGGCACACACCTGATTTTGTAAATTGGAGGCTTCCACTATGCACAGTTGGCAGAGAATGTAAGTTTATAAATAATCTGCTATTATGGCTGACAAATTGAATGAAGCCCTCCTGAATGGGTTATCTCATCATGAATTCAAGAAGACTGCTCAAATGGTAGGCACCCCTGGAAGCCAGGAAGGTCACTAGAATAAGAGACAGGCGGTTTCGATATCCAAGTCCTTCTGCCCAATCTGACTTGAGAGGTTTTTGGGCTCACACTTAGCAGAATCATCCTTGGAGCAAATGCTAGTCTACATTTTTCCATCCTCCACTTCAGATGGAGTTCCAACAAAAGCCAGGGCCAAGGGTCGATATTAGGCCCCTGACAGATTAGAGCTGCTCCATCGCTTCCAAAAGCTCTGTCCCTCCCCATCAAAATAAGCCCTAATCCTCAACTCAAACCCCAGGGCCTCAGGCCAGATGGACTCTCAGGGATCCTTTGGTGACCGTGCGGTTACATTCACAGACAAATCCCACTGTTATCATTAGCCCTCCTTCAATGGAGACTATAAAGACGTTAATTTAAATAAATAAAGATGACGGGTGGGGAAGAATGAAAATATGAAAATTAGGCAAGGATGTGAAACTCTGACCCCCATGGCCATTTGAGAGATTAAGCTGTTCTGGACCTGTTATGGCAGACAGAAAAAAAATTAATTTATCAGTGATAAAATGCAAAATTGTCTCATAACAATTACAGACGGCTGATTATTCAAGGCAACCCATGATTACAATGTCCAAATCACGCTGACCTGAATCAAGAACCCAGGGCAAAACCCAATTATTACGCCTTGAACCTACTTTCTGCTCATCTCTATATGCACAAGCTGGGTCCCCATTAAAACATGAGCTCTTACAGTATAGGGGATGTTTTCACCTTTCCTTTATATGGCCAGCACTCTTCTTGTGCCTGGAACATACTAACTGATTAAGAAATGTTTGTTGATTGATTGAATCAATACTAAAAGTATTTACTGAGTGCCTACCATATATTGCAAGCACTGGGAATAGAGAGACAGAAATAGAAACAGGTCTTGGATTCATAGATTTAATTATTCAAACACTAATCAAAGAGCATTTATTAAGCACCTGCTATGTGTTACCCACCCTGTTAAGTTCTGGGGATATGAGAGAAAAACATTAAGAGCACACAGGCTCATCAATCTAATATCAATCCATAAATATTTATTAAGTGCACGTGTTTGGTTCTGTGGATACAAAGGCACAATTGGGATAGCCTGCCCTCAAGGAGCTTACATTCTACAAGGGGAAAGCATAAGTACACATATAAGTATATATAAAGCACATACAAAGTAAATGCAAGGCAATTTTGAAGGGTAGGCACTAGCTACTGGAAGGAGGTAGGGTAGAAGGTCAAGAAAGAGGTCTCCTTAAGAAGAAGCTAGTCACTATATGTTAAGGACATGGAGTCAGGAAGACCAGAGTTCAAATCTAATCTCAGACATTTGCTAGCTACAAGTGACCTGGGCAAGTCACTGGAGCTCTCTGCCCCGGTTTACTTCTCTGTAAAATGGGGGTAATGATAACACTCACTTCCCAAGGCTGTTGTGAGAATAAAATGAAGTAGTGTTTTGTAAAGTGCTCTGTAAATATTAAAGTGCTATGTAAACACTTACTATTGTTTATTATTAGGAAAGCCACCTGGTCAAAATGAGTTTTTAGAACTGGAAGGCATCAGAGATTATCTGGTCACAGGATAACAGATTTAGAGCTGAGATATCAGTGATCATATAGTTCAACCCCCTCATTTTACAGTTGAGGAAACTGAGGCCACAGAGGATGAGGAACTTGTTCAACTATGAGATGAAACTAGTTGGGCCATAACTGGTAATGTCTAACTTCTTAGCCCCAAAGTAATCACCTCCATCCAGCTCTTTGGGAACTGGACCATAGTACCCAAAGCATTTGGGGAAGAAGAATTTGATAGTGAGCTTGCCAAGGAGGCAGGAGGCTCCTACACCTGAGACCCAAGGAGCCCCTTCCCATGAAAGGAATGACTTCTTAACAATTAGCGCTACCTCAAAGTGCAATGGGCTTCTTTGGAAAAGAGGGAACTCCTCATGTTTGGAGGTTTTTAAGCAGAGAATGGTCACACCTCGGTTGGGGATTTCATGGAGAAAATTCTTTTTCAGATATTAGTTTACAACAGATGTCTCCCAGAGTCCCTTTTAGCTTTGTGATTCTTTGATTCTGGCTGTCATTCCATCATCACCATCATCATCATCATCATCATCATCATCATCGGGGAGTTCCATGGATCACAGGTGAAAATAAATCCAAATCATTTAAAAAAAAAAAGACTTGGA